ATATATATATATATATATATACACACACATACATATAACAATGGTATACAATAACTATCTGATATGACTTGATTAGTCCACAATGTGGTTATCATCTGTCCCCACCATATTTAATTTTCTCTCTAATTGCCTAAGAGATGTTGGCTAACAATTACTAAAGAATAACTAGAGACTGAACCTTTGGAGAGCTAAAACTAGTAACTGTAGTAATAACAAACATCTGAGTGCTTTCTACGGGCCAGGTATTATGCTGAGCATTTTACATACATTATCCCATTTGTACATTACAACAACCTCACGACATGGGCAGTGGAATTCTCCTCATTGTAGAAATGAGGAAACTGAGCTTCAGAGAATTTGAGCAATTTGACTTAGGTCACAGAGCTAGCAAGAAGAGCTGAAATTAGAACCCATTCCATCTGTCCCTGAAGTACTTTAACCACAGTCTCATTCCGCCTCCTGATCTTACGATATTAACAACAACAGCTAACATGTACTGAGTACACATTGTGGTCAGACATTAGGCTAAACGTTTTGGACATTTTCTTATTTAAATCTCATAAGGTGGCCAGGTGCGGTGGCTCACACCTATAATCCCAGCACTTTGGGAGGCCGAGGCCGGTGGATCATGAGGTCAGGAGATCAAGACGATCCTGGTCAACATGGTGAAACCCTGTCTCTAAAAATACAAAAATTAGCTGGGCATGGTGGCGCATGCCTGTAGTCCCAGCTACTCGGGAGGCTGAGGCAGGAGAATCACTTGAACCCAGGAGGCGGAGGTTGCGGTCGGCCGAGGTTGCACCATTGCACTCCAGCCTGGGTAACAAGAGCAAAACTCCGTCTCAAAAAAAATAAAAATAAAATAAAAATAAAAATCTCATAAGGTGTGATTTATGAGATTTATGATATTATGAGGTGGGACTCACCTATTAACCTCATTCTACAGGAGATTAAAAAAAAAAAAAAATGGAGCTCCAGAGAGATTAGGCGAGACCAGGACACTGACGGGAAATCACTTTAAATGAACCTCCATGATGGTTGTGACCTGACTTCTGCTTTCTGCCCAGTGTTCTCTTCTGGAGCACCCTGGGTATGTCCTTGCTGAATTACATAAAGAATTTAGCTACACCTTCTGAAGTTAAAATCCAGGGAAGCTGATAGGCTCTATTCTAGCTAGAAGGCATCCTAGAAATCACCTAATCTAACCTATCAGTTCCCAAACACACACTGGCACCAATTCATGATGAAACATCACCAGTACAGAGTATATCAGAAAATGCAGACACTGTAATGACTATTTCATTAAATTTAGTTAATATTTAAGTAAAATAAAAGACTATAAAGTTTATTAACATTTTTTAAAATTAAAATTTTAAGTAATCCTAATCCAGAGCATCTTTTTCCTAGCACAGGGGTGTCTCCACCACTCCCCTCTTCTCAAACACTGTTTCAGGTGCACAGAAACATCCCTGCCTCCACTCTCACACTGTTTTCTCATCTTTTTTCCTACATTCAAAATCCTCTGAATTCAGAGCCGGCTAAAGATTTCCTCCTCCGCCCCATGCATAGTTACCTGGGCCATGATCCTTGGTGGTAAGCATCCTTGGAAAGGCTGCAGTGGAGTCTCCTGGCAGAGTCGGTGCAGGGGTGACCTTGGCTAATGTCACAAACCAACATAAAGATGAAAATTATCTGAGAGCAGAAAGCTTATTTTGGGGAATCAAAGGGGCAGCAGGAAAAAAATGTGAAAGACAAGGAAGAAAGAGAGATACAACCTCAGTTTTCAAACCTGCTTGGATACCTACACTGAGAATGTTTCATACACTTCAAATGTTTGACAAAGGTAAGATTCAGTCATCATGGTTACATTCTGATTTTGAGGTTTTTTTTTTTTTTTTTTGAGACGGAGTTTCGCTCTTATTGCCCAGGCTGGAGTTCAATGGCGTAATCTCATCTCACCACAACCTCTGCCTCTTGGGTTCAAGGAATTCTCCTGCCTCAGCCTCCCGAGTAGCTGGGACTACAGGCGTGCACCACCACACCTGGTTAATTTTGTACTTTTTAGTAGAGATAGGGTTTCTCCATGTTGGTCAGGCTGGTCTCAAACTCCCGGCCTAAGGTGATCCATCCACATTGGCCTCCCAAAGTGCTGAGATTACAGGTGTGAGGCCACCGTGCCCAGCCATTTTTTGGATGTTTTAGTATCTACACTATACTTATACTCCAATGAGCAGAATGCTCCAATGAGCATTTCCTTTGAATGTCATGTCAGTGTCCAAAAAGTTTTGGAGTTTAGAGCATTTCAGATTTCGGAGCTTTCAGATTTTAGATTTTCAGATTTGAGATGCCCAACCTATAAATGCTTTTCTTAAACTATTACCACATAAAATCCTTCTAATGGCCCACGTGATAGCTATTATTGTCATATTTTACAGAGAAGGAAGTCACATCATTTCAATAACTTACCCAGGACTATATAACAAGTAAGAGGCAGAGTCAGATTTAAACACAGCTCTCTCTGGGCACAAAGTAGATGTTACAGAAATCTTAAAACACACACAAGTCTGTTCCCCTCCCAGCATATATGCACAACCCAGCGGTTCACCATGCTGGCTGCACATGGGGTAGAATCACCTGGGATAGACTCTGTAAAAAGCTAATGCTTAGGATCTACCTCCAGAGATGCTGATTTCTCTGGTTTTTGGTAGTGGCTTTTTTTTTTTNTTGCTTGAACCCAGGAGGCAGAGGTTGCAGTGAGATGAGATTGTACCACTGTATTCCAGCCTAAGTGATAGAGTGAGACTCCATCTAAAAAAAAAAAAAAAAAAAGAAAGAAAAATATGCCTCACTCTCCCAACTCTTTACCATTCCCTGGTTTCTTTTCCTAGAGCCTACACATTAAGAAATGTCCACATATTCCTGCTCCCCAATAATGTACACACACAAATAGAAGCCTAATATACGCATTATTCTGCACCTTTCTTTTTTTAAACAACATTATAACTTTGAGACATTCTATACCAGTGTGTTTAGTCAGCCTCACTGTTTGTATCACAATTATATCACATTTATTTACCCACTCACTCACTGATGGACATTTAGGTTGCATCTAAACATTTGCTATTGCAAATAACATTACAATGGCCATCCTTGTATCTCTCCCTTGTCCTCTGGACAGCACCATTATCTCACTGTCAATAACCATGCCCAGACTTACTTGTAAGTAGCAGCAGCAGCAGGAGGACACAGTCAAAAGGAAGATGTGAAAACATGGGGCTTGTAGAAGAAAAGTCAGGACAGCTCTGTTAGGTGCAGTTTTTTTTTCTTTTTCTTTTTTAAAATTTAAAGATACAGCTGAATAGGTGCAGTTTTAACTCTCCAAATGAACTGGGCACTTCTTCCAACTGTTACTCCACAGTCACATGAGTGGTGGCCACACCCACTGAGTGCTAGCTCAGCACACCAGGGTGTCTAGGGTGTCTGATTAATGATTCTTATATTAACACTGCCAGGTCTACAGTCACATTAAAGGAAACCCAAGTTCTCTATCGTGCCACACTACACACATCCTGTAAGTGTTCTGATGTTTGTCCTATGATACCAACAAAGAGGAAGCAATACTTCAGAGGAAGAAAACACTACTCGGTCATGGCACGTAGAGAGAACTCTCTAACATAATATCTCAGATGAGACAGCCCTGAAATGAAATGTGTATGAGTTCATCTGATTAGCAGGGAACACAAACTACAGAGGCACTATCCATGCATTCACTCACTCAGATTAGCCCCACTATCAGGTCTGTGACCAATGTTTATGAAGCCCCCACTTTGCACCAGGCACTGGACTAGGAGGTGGAACACGACAGTGAATGGCATGTTCCTTATCCTCACATTTAGAGAACATTGTAACTCCCATCGTGAGCCTAACTCTCATCCTTCTTCTTCTTCTTCTTTTTTTTTTTTTTTTTTTTTTTTTTTTTTTAAGATGGAGATTCACTCTTATCACCCTGGCTGGACTGCAATGGCGGCGTCCTCTTGGCTCACTGCAACCTCTGCCTCCCAGGTTCAAGTGATTCTCCTGCCTCAGCCTCCTGAGTGGAATTACAGGTGCCCACCACCACACCCAGCTAATTTTTTGTATTTTTAGTAGAGACAGGGTATCACTATGTAGGCCAGGCTGGTCTTGAAATTCTGACTTCATGATCTGCCTGCCTTGGCCTCCCAAATTTCTGGTATTACAGGCATGAGCCGCCGTGCCCAGCCACACCCATTACTTTTGTCTTTGTTTTTGTTTTGAGAGTCTCACTCTGTGCCAGGCTGAAGTGCAGTGACGCAATCTTGGCTTACTGCAATCTCTGCCTCCCAGGTTCAAACAATTCTCCTTGAACTACTAAAGGGGGATTTCCATGAATGAAATGTACCCCTCCCAAGTAGCTGAGACTACAGGCACATGCCACCACATCCAGCTAATTTTTGTATTTTTAGTAGAGATGGGGTTTCCCCATGTTGGCCAGGATGGTCTTGAACTGCTGACCTCGTGATCTGCCCGCTTCAGCCTCCCAAAGTGCTGGGATTACAGGTGTGGGCCACTGCGCCCAGCCACCCATGAGTTTTAAAACAGATGGAAGGTGTTAAATATCACTGAGCATCACTGATGGGGCCTGTTAAACTTTAGGTTTAGGGGGCCCACCTTCAGGGCTATAATTAGGGAGGTCAGAGGTGAGAACAATCAGTACCTTTAGTATGATCCACAGATAAATCTTATTCATAAAGAAGGCATGCAAAGGTCCACTCACCTGGTTTGATGACCAACTTCAGGTTAAATTTCTTATCATTCATTATGCCTGGGATTTGGATCCGGCAGCAGTAGATTCCAGTGTCTTCTAGAGTCACATTGTCTATGGCCAGGGTTACATTTCCTTTGTGGAAATCCCCCGTTAGCCAGTATCTGCTGGATATCCGATAACTCACATCCCTTTCATCAGTCCTGAGCACCACGTTGCCACACTCAAACACAGGACAGGCTCCTTTGCCCCAGCATACAGGCACGAGGTTCCCTGGAGTGTCCAGAGTGTAGAAGCAGGGCAGATAGGCATTCTGACCCACCTCCACTATGTATTCCTCTTCTGAAGACCCTGAATACAGAGAGAAGGAGAGCTAAGACTCAGGCAGTCAGTGAGGTTACTCAATTTCAGGAAAACTGCAAGCAATGCTCTTATAGAATAAAGAGGAAGCCACTACTGCAGTCCTGTCTGGAGGATGATTCACGTGAAGGCCATCAGAATCACTGGGAAGCCTGGCGAAAACATAGATTGCTGGGCTCAACTACTAGAGTTCATAACTCAGCTAGTCTGTGGAGGAGCCTGAGAACTTCTACTTCTAACAAGTTCTCAAGTGTTGCTGAAGTGGCTGGTCCTAGAACCTCACTTTCAGAAACACTGCCCTAGGAGAGAACTACGGCCCAATTCTGTGAGCACAGGAGAACAGAGCTGATGGAAACAGACAATCAGAAAATGGGTCATGGTCAGCCAGGAAATGGCCCATCCATCTGGGCTACTTGTTTGTTCATCAACAAAGGGAGGCTCTCCTAACATAAATCTCTTTTTTATTTTTTATTTTATTTTATTTATTTATTTTTAAGACGGGGTTTCACCATGTTGGTCAGGCTGGTCTTGAACTCCCAACCTCAGGTGATCCGCCCACCTTGGCCTCCAAAGTGCTTGGATTACAGGCATGAGCCAGCACACCCGGCCCCATAAATCTCTTTTTAAGCAGCAAGTGCACAGTAAATAAAAACCCTTGGTGAAATATGAATCTTGTGTCTTTGAAACTACTCACGGAGTTGTTTTAAGGTTTGAAGTTGTGGTAAGAAATTAAATTTTGGTACTGCGGACTCCAAACTCATTTAGCCAGAGGAAAACATCAAGCTGGGGATGGGGTCATGGAAACGGGCCTCCTCCTTTTGATTCCTAAATAAGGTGGCTACAAGATGAAAGGCTACAGGCCTCCCCCATACTTTGCACACAAGGAAATTTCTGGTCAGCTGTGCAATGCAAGCTGATAGCTTATCTTTACAGGCCACTTCGGCCATATCTGACTGTTCCCCTACTCTATTTTGTCTGTGCTATCTTATAGAAAATGCAGATTTCCCACGTTTTTCCTCTGCCCTCTTTCTTTATGTGAAAACTGAGTGCTTCTCAATATTCCACCTTGTCCCCTTTAAATTTGGAGCGCTCAAAATCGTCTTCTGAGAAAGGCATAGACCTGTCTCCCAAGTGCCTCCTTAACTTTGGCAAATAAATCTTCTAAAATGATTGAGACTTGTCTTATCATTTTCCTCAACTGACAAAGTTAATTCCTTA